TTAAAACACGTGTCAATTTACTGCGTGCAGTCAGCGCTCTAGTTACTGGTCTTACCCAGGACTCTTAGAGGCCTTGTGAATAGCACTTGAATGAAGTACCTTTGAACTTCTGATCTGCTGGAATGTGTTGTGGGATCCTGTATTAAGGGTCCTTAGGGAAAGCAGGTTTTCAGGGAAGCACATTGGCACTTCAGGGGTCTCCATAAAGCCCCAGGTGCTGTGCTCAGTGCCTCACATTCCTTATGACATTTAATCTTACTCTAACCTCGTTAGTGTAGATAGGCATTGTTAAAACTGATTTTAGAGATTGAGAAATGGCCTCAGAGCCAGTGGTTTTGTGTGTGTGTGTGTGTGTGTGTGTGTGTATGTGTGTTACTCAAATGTATACACTGAAGTAGTAGGTGTAGAGCTTCAATATCAGTCTGTCAGACTCCAAAGCCCCTGCTGTTTCCACTAAAGCACAGTGCCTCCTGAACTGCCTTCAGGAGAGGATGCTTCAGGATGATGGTTGGTTAGAATACAGGAGATTCCCTGAGCATTAGTGATGTGTTTCCTCCAGTATATTTTAAAGCCTCTCCTGAACTGGATTGCTTAGATCTCAGTAAGTATCTCATTGTCTTCTGCCTAGTAATTCTTCCTCTCCTCTCTCTTTCCCTTCTGTCTTCCCTTCCTCCTCTTCAATTAATATTGATACTACTTACAATGTCCAGCTCTGTCCTATCCATCAAAATCTAGAAAAATAAAAAGAGTTTAAGTTGGAGGTGACTAAAACGTAGAAGGGTGAGGATTGGGGGAAGAAGAAGGGAAGACTAGTCATATTGTTTACAGATGGGACACATACCTCCAACCCTTTAATGTAGATAAAGTCCCATAACATTCAAAGTTCCATTGGAGACGCCCTTGATTTCTGGGCAGTTTTATGATTTGTCTCTCAAGTTTTATTTCTTCCCTGGGATCTACTGTGCATACTCTTGTACACATGAACTCCTTAGTCATCCTTGTGAGTATTCATTTTATTTGACATTATTTACTCTTCATTTGTGGATTATTTATAATGAGTTTAGAAACTTATTAAGGTTAGAGATTTAATTGCATATGCATGTGTCTCACTCCCAATACTTACAGAATTACACACAAAATAGGAATCAGTAAGTACTTCCTGAAAGTACATTTGTTATTTGCCTTTGAGATGAAAGAGGAACAATACAAACTTTTTATTTGAAATGTAGAAGTATATTTAAATTGTCTCTTGAATAGTATCAAAATAATTTCACTAGGAAATCTCAATTATTTTTGTATTATGTTAAGGTTGATTTTTAATATTTATCACAATTCAGTTTGTTCTACTATGCTATAAAAATATTAATAGTTGGCTTTTCACCAAGAGCAAAGTTATATAAGGATAATTTTTACAGAGCAGATGTTTAATTCCTTTCCCTTTTTTATTATTGGTTCCCTTCTTTTTCAAAAGTTTGATATTCCTGCCCCAAGAAAAGAAAAAAATGGCACCAGATTCATAGGGACTGCTGATTAATCTGTGTAAGAAAGGAGTGCAACACGGTTGTCAGGAGCAGGCCATGGATTGAAGGAAGTAATCAAAAATAATGTTTCTGAGAATAAAAACATTGGAAAAGCTGTTACAGTGTTTTTTGCATGCATTCAAAAAATGAGTTAGTAGTAATTTGTGTTTGTTTTATGTACACTGATAACAATAACTTGCCTTAATATAATGATCTTTATGCTTAGGAAGTGAAATGAATGTTTTCTCCAATTTCTGCAAGGAAACTGAAGGACGCTAGTATTAAGTAGTTTATCCAAAACCACACTGATGATAGTTAAGTAGACCAGGCTCTTCACTGTTTTTTTTTGTATTGAGTCCTTGGTATTTAGACTCCATGTACATATTAGTTCAAGATAATTATATTAACCCCATCTGAGAGAAATCGTTAGCTCCTACTTCATTTTCTTTAGTCAAATAGACTTATTACTTATTGAACCTTAACTGTTAAGAACTTCAGTTAGTCTTCTGTCCTCTGACATGCACTATGGCTTAAATGAAGTTTTATATATTCTTAGTTTTTATGGGTTATCGTTAGGCCATATTTTAATTCAATTTAGTTTAATTTAACTAATCATTACCCTAAAATAACCTCTTTTTTTATGTTTTTTTCTTTGCAACTATTATTGATTTCAGCAGGTAAAAGAAATAAGATTTGTTGAGTATGTTCTAAACATCTCCCTGAGTAATTTTATAGGTGTCATTTAATATAATAATATATCTCAAATAAGTCATTATAGTTCAATGTTCACTCAACAAAAGTTTTGTTAAATGACTACCATCTATAAGGTTCTGTGCTAAAATCAGGAGGTAAAACATATTTGTGGATATTGTGGACTTGTTTTGAGTCAGGGAAGGAAGACAAGGTAAAAAAGTTGGCATTACCTTCTGAGTCTTATTTAAAGGGACAAATGAGCTCTAATTAGCTCAGAAATAACTATTAGGAGTTTTCAGAACATCAATTATATAGAAAAATGATTGTGTTAACATTGAAAGTAAAGCTACTTTTCGATTTGTAACCTTGTACCCTTGAGGTAGTACATGGGTAGATGCTGTGGATGGCAGGTTTCTACTCTCAGGATTCTTTCACGTTCCAGGAAGTTCCTGAACCTGTCAATTCTCTATGTCTGCACCACCATTAAAGATAAATTCATTTAAAGCTAAGTAAGTTGGAATGGCACAATTTGTCTCATTTGATTCAGTAGTAATGTCTTCAATTCTGTAGTGTATGTTACATCAGAATAGATTTTTCTTTCTTAAATGGAAGACTCTCAAGGATGTCAAACTTGTTTTTACTATTGTTCAGTCTTTCAATTTCAGCATAAACCAAATGTGTCTTATCCATCTTTTTCTTTCCTTGTGCCAAGATGTTCCTTGTAAGTTCTCCATATACTAACTTTGGTGAACCATAATAATTCAAGATAAACCATATCTTTATCAAATATCATTAATGTTATTGTTATTTAGGGGGCTGGATTTTCTGAATGAGTGAAATATCTCCTCTCACAATCTCAAGTTTTATTCTGAAATCAAACAAAATAATTAATGAATGTGAAACGTACTATAAAGACATCAAAATGCCAAAACATGTGAAAAACTGATTTTATTTATGTTGTCAATTTCAGTCATTAGGTTTCAAAGAGTTTTCTATGTATTCTTATATAAAACCCACTTACCTTTACATAGTTTTCTTTTGTTTTTGGATTTTTATCTTAAAATACTTATTAAATCTATTTTGTTTATTCAGTAAACAACTGTTGAATGTCAGCATGATGCTGGGCTCTAAATAAAGTGACATGTAAACTAGTCCCCATCCAATGAAAGGGAGAGACAAAAAGATCACTATATTAGTAGCTGGTAATTCTACAACAGACATATTTTGTACATCAGCTATAGTTCTAACTTAGTTTTCTTTTTTTTTAGTGTATCATGTCTCCACAGTGTTTCTTAAACTTGAATATGTGTGGAATAATCTGAGTAACCTGTTAAAATGGAGTTTCCTAGATTCTACCCCTTTAGCAATTCAGCAGATCTGGGAATCTGCCTTACAACAAAAACTGGGTATTTTGACAGTACTTGGACTTCATGTGGAGAAAGGCACATTTCCCTTTCTCCACATGAAGTCCACATGAAGTCTCCACATGAAGATTCTCTTTGTGATCTTTTCCTTTTGCGAGAGATTTCTGCAAGTTTGGGCACCATAAGGCTTCTTTCATCACTTCATCTGCTAATCCAAATACCATGCTCTCAGGACTACAAGTTTAGATTTATTAGGTGCATGCTCATTTCATTAGGTGCCTGTTCATTCCATTACCTTGACTTGAAATAATTCTTTACAGTGATCTGCTGACCTTGTTGGAGTCAGTTGTACTTAGTTTCCTGAGAATGACATCATTAACTGTTGTCTCATCCAAAGACTGTCTCTAATAGTGGGGATATATGGAAGAAGATAACCAGGGAATGCCCTCTTATGGTATAATAACAAAATGCTTTTTAAACACGGTGTTAAATTGGATCAGCTGTGAACTGCCCATCTGTAGGGAACTACTTGACTAGTATTAACCATTTAATCCTCATAACAAATCTATGAATCAGATTATCAGATCTGATAATCAGAACTTGCCCAACATCACACAGCTACTCAACAGTTGAGCATGGATTTTAACTCATTTGGTATGACTACATGATCTTGTGGTCATAATCACTATTTGAATGCTGCCTTTTTCTTAGCCAAAGGAATGGTCTGTGACCCCTTTGCTATGTCCATTCATATCCGAATGACTTTAAGTAAGTTACACAAACAAATAAAGAAACAATAACAAATAGAAATCATCTTGAAAGCAAAACAAAACAATATAAACATTCATAGGATAGTTTTCAGTGTATTTTCAAATCAAACATGTATTTCAACCTCAAATTATAGAAAAATTTTAGGAAATAAAAAATCCCAATAGAGTCATAACAACACATTGTAGCATAAATCATGTTTTCATGGGAAAAAAAAAGAATGACTCCTTTTAAAATGTTTTTCCCATACAGCATGATGAGCATGAATATTTGAGTCAGAGAGAGTCAGTCTTCTGATTGTGGGCTGTTATTTATTTGCTTAATGACCTAGGAAATTTGCTTACTTAATTCTCAGCTTCTATGAAACAGATGTTACAATACAAGGTTTGGCAAATATTAAATGGGATAATTTTATCATGTGCTCAACCCAGTGCCTGGAACATAACAGTCTCTATCAACAATACCTATTTACTGGTATTATTATTGTGGAAATTATTAGCAGTAGTACTAGTAGTGGTAAATTTAATATGCTTAGTAAAATTTAACATGTTTAGACAAAATATTTTTGGTGAAATGATTAAATCATCATTATAAAATGATAATTTTATTCCTTTGAGAATGTCTCTTCTGAGATGAGCTCATTTTTCTTCACCAGGTGATCAGCCCAGCACTCACCAACTGCTAGCCCTGGCTTCACACCTGCGGGAAAGTGCTGAACTCTTCCAGTCAGATGAGATGCGTCCTGCTAATGATCCAAAGGAAAGAATTCCTCTGCGTGTCCGAATGCTGAATGACATTCTCCAAGATATGGAAAAGAGCTTCCTGGTTCAGCAAGTGCCACCAGGTTTTTATAGGTAGGATATGTGTCTCAAAACTTACATTTTTATATCCTCCAATTAAATTTTTGTTTAATTTTTTAAAATATGTATCTTCTGTGAACATATTTCAAATGTAAAACATTTATTATATCTCCAATTTGAGGACCATTCTCCTCCTCCAAAGAAAAGTCCAGCTGCATAAATATAGAATAAGGAAACTTGGTTTAGCAATAATCATATAGAAAATGATTTAGAAACTTTTTTGACATTAAGGTCAGTATGAGTCAAACATGATATGGATACTAAGGAGAATCAAGATGGGCAGAGAAGTGAGTGGAAGTCACGCTGACTTCCTCCCAGGACCAACCTGGAATTACAACTAAATTGTGGAGAAATCACCTGGAACAAACAACTGAACAATAGCGAGAGAGGAGCCGTGTAACCTCAGAGACAGAAGAATCGGCTTTAGCGCAATCTAACCGGTAAGGAGTGCATGGTACAGACCTGAGAAGGCGGGCGGGGCGCCCACGGGCGGCAGCATCAGAAGGATATTGAAACAGCCAGTTGGATGAGAAGAGCGGGGTCTAAACCAAAAGTGGGGATCTCTAGCCCACAGCAGGAGAGCCCAAAAGGTACACAGAAAACAGCCAGCTGTGAAAAGGGGCAGGGTTGCTCTCCACCAGAGACAGGTGGCTGGAGACTCAAAGAACTGTTTAAAGGGCCAATGCATAAATTTTTATTTGCAGCCACTTACCCTGATCTCCGGCAAAGTCGTGGGCAGAGTGGGCTAGAGATGCCTGAGGAGAGGCTGGGGAAGGAGGCTTTAGGGAAAGAACTGAGAGAGGAGCAGGTGGGATCTTGGTGCTGACTCATCCCTCATGTGGCAGCAGCCATCTTGCTCAGGCAGAGACCACTCCCCGAGCAGCACCAGTGTCAAAGGACCCAATAGCCCCAACCCCAGGTGGGATTCCACCCTGCCCCGTGCTGTCTAAGCTGCCTGCTGAGTGCAGAGGGGCAGCCACAGATAGTAAATCCCTTACTAAAGGGGGCACAGAGAGGTCTGGCGACACTTGAAGAGAGACTGGGGATGGAGGCTTTCGGGAGAGAACAGAGAGAGTAGCCAGCAGGATCCCAGTGCAGACTCCTCCCCCATATGGCCCCAGCATGAGTAGACCCAATAACCCCTCCCCCAGGAGGGACTCCGCCCTGCCCTGAGCTGTCTAAGCTGGCCTGCTGAGTGCAGAGCAACTAAATTAACAGCTGAAGGAGACAGCCACAAACAGTAGATTCCTGGAAGTCTCGAACAGGCTGCCTAAGGTCAGGCAGGCTCAACAACTGACATCATCACAGGCAGATCCAGAAAGTAAAAACAGTGGTCTCCAACCATAGAAGTTCATACCACAAAGTCAGGAGATCAAGACAGATCAACTTAAGATTCAGAAGCAAAAGAGTCTCACAAATAATGGGAAGGCAGAGGAATATGCCCCACTCAAAGGGAAAGGAGCAATCCCCAGAAAGAGAACTAAATAAAATAGAGGCGAGTAAACTATCAGATGCTGAGTTCCAAACAATGGTTCTAAGGAAGCTCAATGAGCTCAGTGAGCCCAGAGAGAATTACCTAAAACTACAGGGAAACTATGAGGAACTTACTACAAACTATATCAGCATGAAAAAGGACATAGAAACTATCAAGAATAAACAAGAGGAAATGAAGAATACAATTTCTGAATTGAAGAGCACAGTAGAAGGAATCAAAAGCAGATTTGATGAAGCTGAGGACCGAATCAGCAAGCTAGAGGATAAGGTAGAAAAAAGCTCCCAGAAAGAGCAAGAAAATGAAAAAAGACTCAAAAAGTATGAAGAGGCATTTAGGGAAAGGCAGGACAATCTGAAACGTAATAATGATTGTATAATAGGGATACCAGAAGGAGAAGAGGATGAGGAAGGGACAAAGAACTTGTTTGAAAAAGTAATGATAGAAAACTTCCCTAATTAGAAGAGAAAAAAAGTGACACAAGTCCAGGAAGCACAGAGCGTCCCATTCAAGAGGAGCCCAATGAGGTCCACTCCAAGACACATCATCATGAAAATGGCAAATATCAAAGACAAACACAGAATCCTAAAGGCCGCAGGGAGAAAGAGGTAGTAACATATAAGGGAGCCCCAATACAGCTAGCAGCTGACCCCCTCAAGAGAAACCCTGCAAGCCAGAAGGAAATGGCAAGAAATATTCCAAGTCAGGAAAAGGAACGTTCTGCAACCAAGACTGCTCTACCCAGCAAGGCTCTCAATTAAAATGGAAGGCAAAATAAGGAGTTTCCCAGACAAAAGAAGGCTAAAGACTACATCTCCACCAAACCAGTACTGCAAAATATGCTAAAGGGACTGCTTTAAGATGAAGAAAAAGTTTCTATGATACCCATTTCCTTTCAGAGTTGCTACTACTTCATGTTACCAATATTTTTAATACTCATTAATCTGATTGTGACAATGATGTTATTTTAATTGTTCCTTTACTATTTGTTGAAACTAAACCTGTTTTAGTATATTTCTTGCCTATTTCTATTATTTAAAAAAAAAGCTTTAAATGACTTTTTGGTATTCTTTATCCATTTTTTGATTAAAGGTTTGTAGAACATATCCCCTCCAAAAAAAACCCTATTAACCATATTTTAGATGTGTTGCAAATACTTTTCTATTCTATTCCTTGTCCTTTAATTTTTTTATATATGTATATTACTATATAGTTAAATGTTTAATATAGTCATATTATCAATATTTACTTTATGACTTCTGGGTTTGAATATTTTACTTCAGGTCATGAATAATATTAGTTCTATTTTCTTCCAAAACTCCTTAGATTCTACATATTGATTTTGAACTCACCTGAATATTTCTTGTAGAATGTGTGAAATAGGGCTCCATATTTCTTTTATTTCAAGTAATAGTGGTCCATGCACCTGATTTGTTGAATAAACCTTATTTTACCCATTGATTTGAAATATCAACTTAATCATATATTATATTGTTAGATATCTATGTTTGTCTCTAGAATGCTCATTATATTTCATTGACCTACTTGATTATTTCTGTGCTGATGTCATGTTGGTTTAATTGCTGAGACTTTATAATGGTTTAAAATTTTTTTAATATTTTATAATTAACTTTGACACATAAAAAAATAAATAAAATCATTCTGCATTTAAGAAAGAAAGAGAGAGAGAGATGGAACTCCTACCTTTTGCTTCAACATGGTTGGAACTGGAGAATATTAAGCTAAGTGAAATAAGCCAGTTGATGAAAGACAAAATACCATATGATCTCACCTATAAGTGGACTCTATTCAACAAAATAAACTAACAAACAAAATAAACCACAGGCATGGAAACATGGAGCAGACTGAAAGTGACCAGAGGGGATTGGAAAAGAGGACAATGGTGGAAAGAAGGGGAAGGGACTAGAGAAAGAACATGTATGAATGACCCATGGACATGGACAACAGAGTGGGAATTGACTGCGGGAGTGAGGGGTGAGGATGGGATAGGTGGAGAAGGGTAGAGGGGTAAAAATTGAGACAACTGTAATAGAAGAAATGTGATTTATAAATTTTAAAAAAATCACTAAGCAGCAAATTGAACTCACTTTATTGCAATTACTTTCACTAATTTTGCTATATTATTAACAAGAGGTACAGATAAAAAATCTGGAAAATGAGAAATTACACTATGCTGTTTTAAATACTACTATCTGAGTAAATAAAACCTTATTGTCTGTATTGAAAAAAATAAAAATTGGCTGTAAATATTTAAAAAACCCAAAAAACAAAACATGATATGGGTACTTAAAAAAATAAGTGAAATTACAGGTTGTATTGGGAGAAATACATTTTCATGAATGAATAAACTCATGCTATTTTGTCCTAGTAGGACCAAATCGTGAGCTCTGTGTTTAATTCTAGAAACTCCATTTTAAGAGGGAGTTAAATAAGTGTATTGAGGAGAGATTGTGATTTAGAAGAATCTTGAAATGACCAGAAGAATAGAGATATTTGACTGGAGGATCACACTAGGGTGATTTCTGAAAACATTTGAACAATTTTAACAAATATTTTAATAAAACAATCTTCATGTGGAAGGAGACTCAATTTTCATGTGGAAGGGGACCTGATGTAGTAGAAATTAAACTAAGAGGGAAAAGGCAGTTTAACAGAGTATTACATATTTACAAAATTTTAACTGCCTGATTCTTCTATAAGACACAAAATGTATACATACTTTCTATGTTATAGATGATAATATAATGCATGTATGTGTATAACAATTATATATACATATCTATGCATGTTCTCTGTGTGTATGTATGATATATATACATCTGTGTGTTCATCTAGTTAGGGTTTATCATGAAACAAGGCAGGAGATGAAGAGGTATTGCAGGAAGAGTGAGACAAGAAGACTATTTTGCTTAAAACTCACATACATAAAAGACCTCAAATTTAACACTTATACTACATTAATCCATTTGTCTGTCTATCTATCTACAAAATAATACCCTGGATTAGATATACTGTGTATTACCAAAGATTATAACTAGGACTAATGAATTGAAGCACAGAAATACAAGTCTTAATTATATAGGACAAAGAAGTTTCTAACAAATAGTATTCTTAAAAGACTAAATATGATGCTCATTATCACTGCAGGTATTAAAACATAAGCTGAGTAGCTCTAAGCACCTGAATATTTGGACTACATGAGATTTACGGTGTCTTTAATACAAAAATTCTGTGATCTGACAAATCATGTGATTTCTTCTTAAGTTTTATATCTATAAAATAAAGTGATAAAATGAGACACCTTTTAAATAAGGAACATTTTATACTTCTGGTATTTGTGATTTTTCTTTAAAATTTAAAACCTTAATTCACATTTAAAATCCTTATTTTATATCATTTCTTCTAACACTATGCCCCCGTGTCATAACTCTTTCAGAAGTGCGCGTTTATTACAATAGATAGTTTGAAGGCACTTTGCTCCATGT